AGGGAGGGAGGGAGGGAGGGAGGGAGGGAGGGAAATTAGGAGAGTAAATAGTTCAAGGCCAGCCTGGACCCAGTGGCTAATACCTATCATCACAAAATACTCAGAGATAAGTGGGAGAATCCTGGTCAATCCAATATGAAAAATAACTAAACCAAAAAAGGCTGGGGGTAGAGTGCTACCATCACAAGTACGAGAAGGCACATTATATTCAAATCCCAATACCACCATAAAAGAAAGAGAACAGCAAACTCAAATCTCCCTTTTTGTTTTTATAAAAACAAATTACTGTAATAATAGGATGGTAATTATTCTAGGAAAATCATTACATATTATTAAAAAGCAATAACCCTTGCCGATCAGGTATATAACCAGTCACTCTTTTTCTTTTTTTTTTCTTTTTTTTTATTCCTAACTTGGGACTTGAACTCAGAGCGTGGGCACTGTCCCTGAGCTAGCACTTTACCATTTGAGCCACTTCTCCATTTCTGGCTTTTCCTGAGTAGTTTATTGGAGATAACAGTCTCACAGACTTTCCTACCTAGGCTGGCTTCAAACCAAGAGCCTCAGATCTCAACCTCCTGAGTAGCTAATATTACAGGCATGAGTCACCAGTACTCAGCTAACTCATCACTCTCCACTATCTCAAATCAAGGAGAAACAAACAGATTTTTTTTAAAAAGTCTCTGAGGGAAGTCAATATCAAAAGGTTCTAGAATAAAAGATTATGTTGTGACTCAAAAAAAACTCTCTAGGCCTTCAGTCTCTATTCAGCCATATTACCTGCACCATGACAGACCAGAAACAGTAATAAAAGTTGATGCTACAAGGCATAAGAAGTAAAAAGAAGCAACCCACATTATAAGGGGCAGCTGGAATTTGACAAACACTAGATCCAGAAAAATCTGATTACAAAGGCAGAACACTATATAAAAGATTGAGAAAAGTTTTCTATAGAAATTGAGTTATTCTTGATATTTAATAGTAGTAAGCCTCAATTACCTCTTATGCTAGATATCTATACATTCAAGTATTAGATTTATTATTAGATTATTAAAGTATTTTAATGTTTGTTTAACATGAACAAGTACTTACTTAAAAAGTTCTCCATAAAAAAAGACTACTGATTAGTATTTACTAAAACAGCCACAGAATGGGTTAGTTTATGATACAAACCTACTGCAGCATGAAACTGAGATAAAGCATCAGCTAGTTGTCCAGCAGCAAGTAACTTCTTGCCCAATTCAAGATGTTTCTCAACATCTGCATTTACTCCACATTCAGCACCTAAAAACACATTTTTAAAAATCTGTTAATTTTTGATAAACCAAGATTTAGTTCTAAAAAAATAAAAAGTTATCTGGCTTAGTCATCTACTAAGATGAGAAAAGTCACAGAAGCTAGAAAAAAAAATAGAGAAAGTGACAATAAATCACAAACAGCATTTCATTTTAGATATAGGCAACCCCCAAACAGACCCACATTCAATCTACCCAATGGAAATACTACCAGTCTACAAAACAAAAGGAAAACTGTCTAACAGTGAGATTAGAACTGCTTTATTAGGAAAGCCTGCTTGGGCCAGGAATGTGGCTTAGTGGTAAGAGTGCTTGCCTAGCATGCATGAAGCCCTGGATTTAATTCCTCAGTACCACTAAATAGAAAAACCTGGAAGTGGTGTTGTGGTTCAAGTGGTAGAGCGCTAGTTTTAAGCACAGAGAGGCTTAGGGACAGAACCCAGGCCCTGAGTTCAAGCCCCAGGACTAGTCAAAAGAAAAAAAAAAGGTCACAAAAAAAGAAAACCTGCTATTGTAGGTAAGTACTTAATGAGGAGGCACTAGTATCTAACCTTGATAAAGGGTTACACAAATATATGCACAGTTATAAATTAATGTTTCGTTGCATGTTAATTTAACAGAAAAAACTTGGTGAGGTAGATGCTCAAGTATGTGGGGGCATGTATATTGATATTGTTTTCAAATACTTTTATTTATTTATTTTTGTCAGTTGTGGGGCCTGAACTCTGGGCCTGGGTGCCGTCCCTCAACTCTTCAGCTCAAGGCTAGCGCTCTACCACTTGAGCCATAGGGACACTTCTGGCTTTTTCTGTTTCTGTGGTGCTGAGGAACTGAAACCAGGGCCTCACGCATGCAAGGCAAGTACTCTATCACTGAGACACCTTCCCAGCCCTGAAATATTTTTATTTTCAAAAGAAGGCTTAATATGTAAAGTTGTAGCAATGAAACCTACCCCATATAATACAAGCTAATTTAAAAAAAAAATTAACAGAGAAATGTCCCAGTGGATGTGCTTGATAAAAAGTATAATTATAGGGCTGGGAAGGTGGCTCAGTGGTAGAGTGTTTGCCTCCCATGCATGAGGCCCTGGGTTCGATTCTTGAGCACCACATAAACCAGAAATGGTGCTATGGCTCAAGTGGAAGAGTGCTAGACTTGAGCTGAAGAGCTGAGGGATAGCACCCAGGCCAAGTTCAAGTCCTGCGACTGGCAAAAAAAAAAAAAGAAGAAGTGTAATTATAGAACATTTAAACAGAATTCAGACAATAGGTATTAGAGTGAGTTCTAAAATTCCTTCAACTTTGTGATACATTCAGTACCATGTTGGAGAAAACCACACTGGAGTGCTATGATGGAAAATATAAAACAGGATGCTAAGTACATTATATGCATTTGTCAACTGAAGGCAAGCAAAGGTGCTTAACACAGCTAAATAAAATTTAAAACTTAGTCATGGTCACCATAGTTCAAGTGTTCAATAGTGGCTAGGGGAAAAGAAATAATTTTGTTTACCATTCATAGCTCTTAACTGGGCCTCTCAGTAATAATAAAACAGATTAACAAGAGGAAAAAATTATTAACATGTATATAGCCTAAGTAACTCAAAATAATGTAGTGAATTTCTAGGTCTCAAAGAAAGCATTTAAACTTTAGGCATAAAATACCATCATCTGGTATTATATTGCAAAGGGAAGACTTTTTGGGGTGGTGTAAACCAGCATGTTGGGTAAGGAAGAAAGAAGAGTGATGAAAGGTGTGAAGATTATAGAACATTATATACATGGAAACTACCAGAAAAATGCTAAAAAGGGATTAACAAAAAATAACATAGATGATGTAAATTTGATCAAAGTACATTATATACATATTGTCAATACCACAATGAAACCCTTTGTACAATTAATTTACAGTAATAAAAAAGTTAAATGAAAAATGCCATCATTTAATGAAACCACGAAGAACAGAGAAACCTGCGTTTGGGAAGATGGCCTGGAAGTATTGAAAACAATAAGATGTTTGCTGATTTAAATCAGCGCTTTCTCAATTGCATTTAAGTGCATATATGCTATCACACTGATAAAGCTTTCAGAGAAATAGAAGTCCAATATTTTAGCTTGTTCTCTTTGCCATTATGAGTAAATCATTATGGAGTAGATGATATGGGTGATTCTAATAAACAGCTAGAGAAGAAAAAGAAAAAACAAGAGGATAAGTGATTCTGCGGAGCTATAGTAGAAATAAAAACAAGAGAAACAAGATTACACATGACTTTTATCACTAGATGTGACAGTCACATGGTGAAAGATTAGGCATCCAGGAAGATAACCAGAGTAGTCACTGCCATCTCAGACACTAAAATCAACTGAATTCATTATTTCACCTAATACAGGAAAAAGCTAACTAAAATTTATCTTGCTACTTATCCTACTCACAAAGTAGTTTTACTAGCTTTCTGTATTCCTAATCTGTAATGTCTCACTACAGTAAGTACTTGTTGCACTCCAATAAATAAGTAGAGGGGAATTGTTTCAGGAGAAAACTATAGTATACCCATTGATTAATAATTCCAATATTGTTGAGATTTTGCTATGCTACCTATAACTTAAAGTAGACTGAATTCTTCAAGTTTTCTGTAATATCTGGTTAATGACAATCCAAACTAGTCATCAAATTACTTGTACCTTTCTGTCTTAAAATCTCTAATAATAAAAACTGCTCTCTTCCCAAACAATATTCTGCAAGCTGAAGTTGGATGTGATCTGACATGAATGTCAGAAAGATCACCACACAGCTCATGTATGGAGATAACCTTGTGCATTCTGTCTCTAAGCCATTAAGACAGCACTAGACACACTCAAGCTGCAAAAGATGTTTCTAGCCCAACACCTAGGAAGAACTCTTTTTGACTCACTGTTTTCTAACATTAGAAACTGGTTTACGGTCTGCTCCGATTATTGACTTTTTTCACTACTTTCTATAAAATTGCTTCTTCAAAGCTACCAAACTCAGTTGTCAGTCATGTGGCTCTTTTCTAGTCTTACACAGAGAACTCCGATGGGACATTTGGTCACAGAATTTTTTTTCTCTTGATGCTCCCTTTTATGTCAATTTAATTTATAACCTACCAAAATAACATAAAAGGGTGGAAGAAAGCCCTACTCTCTCCTCAAGACAGGAAAGAGGAAACATTAACTTTGGCAACCTCAAAATTTAGCATTCTTCAGGGTCCTTATTTGTTTGAGGTATAATCTGAAAACCTCTGAATCATTTAACAGTCTGTTAGAAGGCTGGAGGCATGGGTCTAGTGATAGAACACTTGTCTAGTAAGCACAGGTCTGAAGTTCAAACCCCAGTACCGCCAAAAAGGAAAAACAAGGGTTGCTAGCATTAGGAAGTAGTTGAGGGTTCTCAATATTTCAGTAGGCTGGTAACTCATTGCTATTCGTCCCATTTAAAATAATGAGGGGAGTCTCTCCCACTGTAGGAATCCAATTACAATAGACCTTATATTTATCTTTGTAGCTCCCTTTGAATAGTCACTACCTTTATAGATAAAAATAAAATATAGTACAATATGATTATGAGAATATATGCTGGTGCTCTGTGGAAATTCTCAATGCAAACAGATTCAGAAACTGCTTATATTCGGGTAGGGAGGTCACCCTATAGTTCCTTCTACTTCCTTACTATAACAAAAAAGATAGCCTGCTTTATATAATATAAATTACAGAAACTGTTTCATTTAACAAATGTTACTAAGTATATATTTAAAATAAAGATGAAAAAAGCAGCCACTTAAAAAAAAAACAAAAAGGAGTGGAAAGCCTAGTGCCAGTGGCTCACACCTCTAATCCCAGCTACTTAGGAAGCTGAGATCTGGGGATCACAGTTCAAATCAAGTCCAGGCTGGAAAGTTCATAAGACACTTATCTCCAAATTAATCACCAAAAGCAGGAGGTAAAGCTTAAGTAAAGGCTTAAGTGGCAAAGCACTAGCATTGAGTTCAGTGACAGTGCCCAGCTCAGAGTTCAAGCCCCAGTACTGACCCATTCACACATTCATTCACACACACACAAAATGAGCCAGGCACTGGAGGCTCACACCTATAATCCTAGCTATTCAGAAGGCTGAGAGCTGAGGGTCACAGTTCAAAGCCAGCAAGAGCAGGACTCTTAACTCCCAATTAATCCCCAGAAAATTGTGGCCCAAAGTGTTAGAGCACTATCTTTGAGCAAAAGAGCTTAGGGATAGCACCTAGGCCCAGAGTTCAAGCCCCATGACCCCACCTCCCCCCCCCAACCCCAAACCCTGGCAAAAAAAAAAACCCAGCAGAGGTATCTATGCATTCACAGGTGTAGCAGTGGGGCACAGTAGAAAATAAGATATAAATAAGATATAAACAATTTCTCAAGTACTATAATACTAAAGTGACAGAATGCCTGAGGAAAGGAATACTTATTCCAGATAGCCGATTGAGAAGATAATGTTTGAAATTAAAATACTTATAACAAGTCTTGCATGATAAGAAATACCCAGCATGCAAAAACCACAACCATCACCAGGTGCCAGTGGCTCACACCTGTAACCCTAGCTACTCAAGAGGCTGAGATATGAGGGTCGTGGTACAAAGCCAGCCCAGGCAGGAAAGTCCATGAGTCTCTTATCTCCAACTAACCACCAGAAAAACAGAAGTGGCGCTGTGGCTCAAAGTGGTATAACACTAGCCTTGAGCTGAAGACCTCAGGGACAGCACCCAGGCCCAGAGTTCAAGCCCCACAAAAACAAACAAACAAAAAACCACAACCATGCGGAGGCACAAAAACAGTACAAAGAACCAAGCGGGACTAAGCTCAACTTCAAGGAACTAAAGAATAATTCTAGCTCAGTAAACAAGGAGGAAGGATAAAAGACTTAAGATACTGACTACACTGGACACTACAGACCACACTAAGAACTTTAGATTTTTATTCCAAGTTTGAAAAGAAACCA